TTGCAACAGATGCCAAACAAATGGTTGTGAGTCAAGGACTACCTATTAAACTGTCTAGATCGACGTTTCTCAACCCTGGAAATTTTAAAATGGGTCATCTTCAAGTCCCAGAATTCCTTACTCCGCTTTGCTGGTGGGAGGATGCTGGGAGTTGAGGTCCATGCATCTTAAAGTCGCCATACGTGAGAAACTGGTCTGGATCAGCGGTCTCCAACCTTAGCAACTTTAAGACTTGTGGACTTCAACTCCTCAGAGTTCAACTTTCAGAATTCTGAGAGTTGAAGTCCACAAGTCTTAAAGTTGAGAAACACCGATCTGAAGATTTTCTACTCCAGAGTCAATCATCCGTTGCCTAAACAGGCCGAAGATCTGCCATTCCAGTTTAACACAATAACAGGAGTTGGAAGGGACTTTGGAGGTCTTCTAGTCCAGCTCCCTGCTTAGGCAGGAAACCCTATACCATTTTAGACAAATGGTTGTCCAATCTCTTCTTAAAATCCTCCAGTCTTGGAGCATTCACAATTTCTGGAGGCAGGAAAGTTATTCCACTGGTTAATTGTTCTATCAGGAAATTTCTCCTTAGTTCTAGGTTGCTCCTCGATTAGTTTCCACCCGTTGCTTCTTGTCCTGCCTTCAGGTGCTTTGGAGAATAGTTTGACTCCCCCTTCTTGGTGGCAGCTTCCTCAACATCACTTTCCTTCTGCATTATGGTCTTTGCTAAACTATTTTATGATCAAATTTCTAATCTTTGGATGAATCATTCCTGATCATGGCCCTCTCAGGAAATAGAACATAGAATAGCAGAGTTGGAAGGGACCTTGGGAATCCCTACACTGCTTCAGACAAATGTTTATCCAATCTCTTCCTAAAATCTTCCAGTGTTGGAGCATTCACAACTTCTGAAGGCAACTTCTGTTCCACTGATGAATTGTTCTCACTGTTAGGAAGTTGCTCCTTAAATTCCAGGTTGCTCCTCTCCTTGAAATGAATATGATAATCAGCTATCTTCTCTTTCCATAACTTCCTCTTACCTTGACAAAGGACGAAAGGAACGTGAAGAATAGCAGCCTGAGGATTCTTCATTGTCACCTGTACAATGTGTCATTTCTTGCCGTTGTGTTTGAATCTTGCAGGAAAGGGAAGGCACAAAACACAGCGTACATAGGATGCAACATAAAAAAAGTATTAGGACTTAAGAGTTCGATCTTCAAAGCTGCGTTTGGCAGCTGAATATATCTCCTTTGGCAAAATTAGGCGGGCGGTCGATAGCTAAATGGAATGGATTGATGTTCCAATTTTGCTTAAATTAGAGGTTCTTGGTGCCCTCTGAATTGGGTTGTTTTCTTGCAGACGTTTCATGACCCAACTAGGTGACATCATCAATGCTTACATGTTTAGGGAGACTTTTTTTGGTGGTTTCTGGAAATCTCGTTGAATTCTTGGGACGTTAAGAGTACATTTAATCTTTGTAGATCATCTATGGATGCTCAGATCTGAATCTTGCAGCTTTGGCAGTGGAAGAGGGATGGTTTCCACTGGTGGTCTAAACGTTGCTAAGGACCTCAGGAAGTGTTGAGTGAAGAAACTTGAAAAACATTCTGTGGCTTTAATCTCTGTGGGGTGGTCCTTCGTGCTCTCTGAGCGTGTGTTCTGACCTAGGCTTTCCCCAAAGCACGAAGCTGACCCCAAGTCCCGATAAAACCGCTTTTATTTGGTTTACAGTGAATTCCTCTCCAGCAAAGTCCCGGCCAACAAATCTCTTTCAAGAGATTTCACAACTTTATCGGGCTTGGAGAGTTGCCAGGCCGATATCTTTCAGAGGCCACACTGTAGCAGACAATACTTGGCAAGAATGGAGGAACAGATCTTCACCCAGATGAACTAATTGTCTCCTGCAAAACCCCTCTCCCCTTTCGCTCCTCTTTTATTCTCTCTGGGAGGGGCCATTCACTGTCCACCTGTGCCTTTACTCCCAAGTCAAGCCTTGTTCCTTAGCTGTTCCCTTCTCCTTGCAGCTCTGTGCATGCACACACTGGGAATAGGCTCCAGCTGTTCTTCTGCCCCACTGATATCAGACTCTGAAGGCAGCTGATAACTGTCAGACAGCCCTGGCCCATCTCTGCCTCCGACGCAGAGCCCTCGTCAGAGCCTTCCCCAGACTCCAGGATTGGCCCATGTTCCTCCCCAACTTCCTCACCATCTGAATCTGGCGGCCACAAGAGCTTGGTTGTTTTTATTGCAAACCCAACTAGGTAATGTCATCAGTGCCAGAAGGGAGTCAGGTGTTTGCTCTCTGTTTATATACCACTTTCCCTAATCTCACCAATTCTGACAGGGCCAGCCACTATATAACACAGCAGCTGTGAAGTCATATGTAGCCTGCAGCATATTTATTTGATTAATTATTGGTTTTATTGTTTGTATCCTATTATTTTTTACAAACAACTCAAAGCAGCAAACACATCCAACACATCCTGTTTTCCTCACAACAACCCTGTGAGGTGGGAAGGGCTGAGAGTGACCGGCTTAAGGTCACCCACCCGCCTTTTGTGACCAGGATGAAATTAGAAGTCACATTCTCCTCATTACCGGTGCAAAGTCACCCAGCCAGCTTTCGTACCTAAAGTGGGACTAGCACTCAACATCTACTGGTGATTGACCCATGGTCATCCAGTCACTTTTCATGCCTAAGGTGGGACTAGAACTCACCGTCTCCTGGTGATTGGCCCAAAGTCACCCAGTTGGCTTTCATGATTAAAGCGGGACTAGAACTCACCATCTCCTGTTTTCTAGCCTGATGCTTTAACCACTAGACCAAACTCTCTGTTTCATTATGACCGATTCCTTTACTGGTGATCATTGATCCTAAATAACTGTGTGTATGTGTGTGTGTGGTTTAGAGAGAGAAGGAGAAAGAAATCCCTGTAGTTTTCTTCGGAAGATTTCAGAAGTTCACCCTTGTCATCTTCCTAACCCTGAGAGAGGGTCATCCAGACATCTTCGTGCCTAAAAATGGGACTAAAATTCACTTTCTCCCACTTTCTAGCTGGCATCTTCACCCCCAGATCAATCTGCCCCTCCACCACCTCAATATCTTTGCGCTCCGAAACTGCGCTCTGAAAAATTGGAAAAGTGAAGCAGGAGAACCTACCTGGTCTCTTGGGTTGTGACAGTGTGAAATGGGCCTTTTTTAAAACACACACACACAATTGTCCGGATCCAGCTTTCTGCTTTTTGTCGGTTCTTCTTCAGAGTCTCTGCATTGCCTTCATGAGGAAGGATGCTTTAAAATGGCAGCTTCCGGCCTTTTGGGTACCAGGGACCGGTTTTGTGGAGACTGAAGGTAGTGTGGTTTTGCATGCTGCCTACATCACACAAATGGAGCTTTGCTTGTTTGCGCATGCCACACCTCGGTGCTAGTCCACAGATTGTGGGCTGAGGACCCCCCTGTTTAAAACTACAGCAAATTAATTTGTAGCCACCACAATGTAAAAAGGATGTTGAGACTCTAGAAACAATGTGTCATGCCCCTGGTGGAGACTGACTCTAAGGGAGAGGAGGAACAGCCGACAGGGAGTGGAAGTTGTGGCTCCGGATGTTGTGGTGGAGGCTGGGGAAGGGCAGAGGCCGGCTGGGCAGTCAGAGGAGGACCCAGGCCCATCCCCTCTCCATCCTAGGGCACGCAGGGAGGAGAGGATAAAGGAGAGAGATGGTCTATGGGGGAGGAAAAGGCCTTGGTCCTCTTCATGGGCTGCAGCTGTGACAACTGGATAAGAGGACGGACATGCATATGGACTAGTGCTGGAAACAAAGCGTGGAAATATCTCTAGTTTATGGTTCCTCTCTGAGTTTGGTGTCCTTCCCAGTGTGTGTTCTGATATCTGTGGACATCTTCAAGCCCTTATCTTGCCTGGTTTGTGTTATTTTTTTACTCTTTATAATTTAAACGGCATTTCCTCCTTCTTGTAGCTGCTTGTGGGGGAGTTTTTTATCTCCAATTAAGGATATTTGGAGCTTAGAAGCAAAGTGAAAGAATAAAAGGGGCTTTACCTGTTTTTTGTGACTCTATTTATTTGCTACCCGCCCTGGGTCATCACACAATGCAGAAAAGAGCAACAAAGATGATTAGGGGACTGGAGACTAAAACATATAAAATAGAATTATTTATTGGCCAAGTATGATTGGACACACAAGGAATTGGTCTTCGGTGTCCATAAAAGATGTAAGTGAAAAATCATGATCATCATCATCATAAAAATGCATTCATCATAAATCCTAAGATACAATATTTAGTGATAGTCCTAAGCTACTAAAGACTCAATCAAATCATACTAGGAAACTAAATAAAACAATATAAGTTGTAAAGATACAAGCAACAAGGTTATAGTCATAAGTACAAAAGGAGAGAGGTAATAGGAAGGAATGAGAAGAAGAATAGAAATACAGTCTTAGTAAATAGTTTGACAGTGTTGTGGGAATTGCTTAGCAGAGGGATGGCATGTAGGAATATAAAGAATGGTTGCTGGAATTAGGTATATCTTCTAGTTTAATGAAAAGAAGACTAGGAGTAATACAATAGCCGTCTTCTAGTATTTGAGGGCTGGCCACAAAGGAGAGAGGGAGTCAAGCTATTCTCCAAAGCATCTGAGGGCAGGACCAGAAGCAATGAGTAGAAATTAATCAAGGAGAGAAGCAACTTAGAACTGAGGAGAAATTTCCTGACAGTGAGAACAATTAATCATTGCAACAACTTGCCTCCAGAAGTTGTGAATGCTCCAATACTGGAAGTTTTAAAGAAGAGGATGGATAAACATTTGTCTGAAATGGTACATGGTTTCCTGCCTTAGCAGGGGGCTGGACTAGAAGACCTTCAAGGTCCCTTCCAACTCTGTTATTCTAATTTTCTAATGCTAGACTTCTTTTAGATGTGGAGGCTTGGGAGATCAGCGCAGGGAATTGTCCATGTAACCACTGCAATTTTTTTTTTTGGCTTTTGGCAGGGGCTGTTTCCTAAGCTGCAGTTCCCCTAGGCCAGGAAGGGGCCACGGGGACATCTGGCTGGCCCTTGGGCTCAGAATAAGTACCCAGAGTGGGCCAGAAGGGCTGAAGAGGGCTGCCCATGCCGACCGTTTGCGAAGTGGGGAAGCAGGTAAGTTGTCGATCCTAACTCCGGCCATTCACAAGACCAGGTTAGAATTTCAAATTGCACTTTGTAGGGCATTGGTCCCCAACTTTTCTGGGCCCATGAGCCAGTTTTCATGGCTAAGCAGGACTAGAACTCACCACCTCCTGGTGATTGGCCCAAAGTCACCCAATTGGCTTTCATGCCTAAGGCGGGATTAGAACTCACCACCTCCTGGTGATTGGCCCAAAGTCACCCAATTGACTTTCATGCCTAAGGCGGGATTAGATTGCACAGTCTCCTGGTGATTGGCCCAAAGCCACCCAAATGGCTTTCATGCCTAAGGTGGGATTAGAACTCACAGTCTCCTGGTGATTGGCCCAAAGTCACCCAATTGGCTTTCATGTCTAAGGCAGGACTAGAACTCACCGTCTCCTGGTTTATTTGTGTAAATGAAGCTTCACTTGCCCGTTACATGACCCATTTCCAACAGGCCACGACCGGTTCATGGACCTGAGTGGGGTTGGAGATCCATGTTATGGGACATCAACTCACATTGACCCAAGAAAGGATTCTAGTTATATTAGTCCTCCTAGTTATATTAAGTCCTTGACTTAACGACTACAATTGAAACCAATATTTCCATTTGCTAAGCAAGGCAGTTGTTAAGTAAGTTTCATCTCGCTTACTGACGGTGGGCAGAGTCAGCTTGCAATACTGCATTCTAACCACTGCGCACCACAGCTCGACACCTATTGATGGGTTGCATGAATGAATGAATGAATGAAAGGATTGGATGCTCTCTGCCTTCTCTCCTTCCTCACCTTCTCTGTTTGGCCTCCTCCCCTTTGCAGTACCCAGAGCCGCCGTACCCGGACAGACCTCTTCCAATGTCCCAGCATGAGACTTCTCCGGCTGCACTGCGGAGGGCCAGCAACCACCGACGGGGCAACCCCTGCTGCTTGTGCTGGTGCTGCTGTTGCAGCTGCTCCTGGTAGGTGCCCCCCACGCACACCTGCACGGCTTCATAACTCCACCTGGGCTCTGGGTGCCTTGCAAGTAGTCCTCGACTTACAATGGGCCCTTAGTGAATGTTTAAAGTTATGCTGTCTGTCTGTCTTTGTCTGTCTCTATCTCTCCCCATCTATCCATTTCTATCTATAGAGATTGTCTGGATGGATGGATAGATGGATAATCTATCCATCCTATCTTTATCCTTCTTTCTTCCCTCCTTCCCTTCTCTTCTCCCTTCCTTCTCGCCCTCCCTCCCTTTTCTTCTTCCATCTTTCTCCGCTTCCTTCCTTCCTTCCTTCCTTTCTTCTTCCATTCCCCCCTCCTCTTCTTCCTTCTCCCCTTCCCTCCCTCTCTTCTCTCCTTGCTTCCTTCCTTTCTTCTTCCCTTCCTCCCTTCTCTTTTTCCGTCCTTCTCCCCTTCCGTTCATCTTTCTCGCCCTCCCTCCCTGTCTTGTCTCTTTGCTTCCTTTCTTCCGTTCTCTCCTTCTTCCCTTCCCTCCCCCCTCCTCTCTCACATACACACACACGAAATTGCATGGCCACATGTCAGGCACCAGTCATCCAAACCATGTTTATATCCTTGCAGTCCTGTTGCAACATTTTCTAACCGTTTTGCCGAAAACCAGCATTTGGTTCCGATTTTCTGCCCAACCGGCTCATGGCAAGCCATGAGGTTGCTTTAACAGCTGCAGTGTTTGTGTAATAATCGTTGCAAAAAGAAGTGGTAAAATCCAGTCGGTCAAGTGGGTGACCTGTTTTATGACCGTCACAACTGATGACCCAGAAATTCAAGTTCTACGACTGTCATATGTCAAGGGCTACCTGTACTAATGATCCAGAAATAACCCATCGTCTCTGATCCTGTTAAACGCAGCTGGATCTTTTGCAAGTACACAGTTGAGGTTGAGAAAAAAAAAAGAGGATGCTGTAATCCTCACTTAATGTCCGGTCGCTTAGCAACTGCTTGGTTATTACAGAACACTCCCCCTCCACAAAAAAAAAAACCCTACTTATGACCAGGTTCTGGAGTTCCAAAGGCTACACACACACACACACACACACACACACACACACACACACAATTTCATGCCCCTGTCGGAATCTGATTCCGAGGGGGGGGGCAGCAGCTGACAGCGAGTGGGCATGTGGCTTCGTTGGCTGTGGAGGAAACTGGGGAAGGGCACAGTCTGGCTGGGCAGAGCAGGGCAGAGGTAGAACAAGGCAGAGGGAATTTGGAGGAAGACCCAGGCCCGCCCCCTCTTCATCCTAGGGCATGCAGAGAGGAACAGAGAAGGGAGCAACGTGAGTTGCATGGCTTACAGGGGAGGAAAGGGCCCTGATTCCCTTCATTAGTTTCAGCTGGGAACACAGTGTTTAAAAAAGAAAATTGCACACAGCAACCTGTTGGAACCAAATCGTGAGTTATCTTTCTTTGTCGAGGTTTATCTGGGTTCCTGGCGTCTTCCCAACTGTGTGTGTTTTGTTGGCCTTTGAAGTCTGCAATTCCTTCTCCTGCCCTGTCCAGTTAATTGCTGCAGGGTGGCTTGTGTGGATTTTTATTTACAGTTTATATGTACTTTGTTTTCGGACTGAATTTCCTCCACTTAAAGACTGTTTTTGGGAGAGTTTTTTCTCCAGCCGAAGGTAACCTGGACATTGGGGGCCAAGTTGGAGGTATTAAAGGGACTTTGCTTACTCACGCGGCTGTGTTGCCTTTGTGCCACGCCTCGGATCATCACACATATAGTGATATGAACATACTTTGGATGCTTGTCAACTACCTCATTTTTAGGGCCAGTTGCAGTGTTTCACAGTCGTGTGACTGCAATTTACAAAGTGTTTTGCCCGTTTCCAGCCTTCTGGGGGGTGGGGAAACCCACATAGGAATAATTTGACTCACTTAAGGATCATGGCATTCACTTAACAACCACTGCAAAAAAAAAAGTCATAAAAATCAGGTCCGATCACATAGGTGCCTTAACGGATGACCATAACTTACAATAGAAATTCTAGGCTCGACTACGGTCATAATTCGAGGTCTGAGCTATATATTTTTCTGAACTCTCCCCAGCTCTTGAGCAAGGAGAAAGGGGTCAGGAAGTGCCCAAAAGTACAGACAGTGCCCCTCACCCCAGATGGTTTGTCAGAAATGGTGTTAGGGACATGATGGTGAATCTATGGCACGTGTGCCACAGGTGGCACGCAGTACCATTTGTGCCGGCACACGAACCCCAGCCAAACTTACCTTACGGCGCATTTGCATCCCTCCCAGCTGATTTTTGGCCCGTTTGAGGCCCTTTTTGGCCTCCCAGAGGCTCGAGGGAAGCCTCTGCGACCTTTGTGGGCTGAAAACCAGGCCCGTTTTCATCACTTCCTGTATTTCTGGAAATACCGGAAATGACAAAACGGGCCCAATTTTCGGCCTACAAAGGCCGCAGAGGCTTCTCTCGAGCCTCTGGGAGGCTGAAAAAGGCCTCAAACGGGCCTAAAATCAGCTGGGAGTCACAGTGCAGGTAAGGGGACGGCGGGAGGGGGGGATTGCGGGCATGGGGGTGCCACGCACATTGCCTTCTGGATGCTGGCACGTGAGCGTGCACGCAATTTTTGGTACAGGAGCCCCAAAAGGTTAGCCACCACTGGTACAGGGTCTCCTGCTTGGGCGGGGGGATTGGACTAGATGACCAACAAGGTCCCTTCCAACTCTGATTATCTGTTAAAAAAAGAAAAGATCCAAACCCTTCGCTGCTTTCATTAGCAAATCAGAAGACCACAATTGCTGGGTGAGACCCAGAGGTGGTATTCAGCCGGTTCGGACCAGTTCTGACATACCGGTTGCAGAAATTCTGAGTAGTTTGGAGAACCAGCAAATACCACCTCTGGCTGCCCCCCCCCCCCCCCCCCACCCAGCCATTACCTCTCCTATATTCCCTTTTTTTTTTTTAGCTCAGCTGATTCGCACGGCAGAGTGGATTGCCGCACCTCAGCTGAGGTAAAAAAAACAGCTCAAGTCACCAGAGCCAACACAGAGGGCAGCCTTTGAGCCCTCCTCGCGCACGCTAAGCCTGCTCTCAGAACCGGTAGGAAAAAATTTTTGAAACCCACCCCTGATGAGACCACAACGGTCATTTTGCACGGCGCAAAACACAAGCTGCAAGGAACGGCTCTTAGTTTAGCCTCTGCCCAGGGCTGGCCATAAATAGAAACTCAGCTCTGTTCTTTTATTATAACTATTCCCTTTATCCTCCTGTGCCATCTGCCCTGGCAGTGGTGGGATTCAGACGTTTTTATTACCGGTTCTGCAGGCGTGGATTGATGGGCATGGTGTGGCTTGGTGGGTGTGGCAGGAGAAGGATACTGCAAAATCCCTATTCCTTCTCCACCCCACTGACCTGCTTTCCAGCTCCGTTCTCCTGTGCAGGGCAACCAAAGGAGACCTAGCCAATCAGCTGGGACTCGGGAGGCAGAGAAGAGATTAAGGTGAGGCCAGTCAGGGGTGGTATTTGCCAGTTCTCCGAACTACTCAAAATTTCCGCTACCGGTTCTCCAGAACTGGTCTGAACCTGCTGAATACCCCCTCTGTACCCTGGGCTTAAGCGGTGTTTATTCAGGGAGGCTGCCTGGAGCATTTCACAAAGTGACTCTGAACATTGTCATTCGAACAGATGGTGTGTGTCTCCTGTTTGCACTTTGCAAAATGCATCCTGTTCTCTGCGTGTGCCTGAGTCTAAGTGCTTTCAATTTAGAGTTATTCCCTACTGATTTAATTTGTTCCTGGGCTTTTCTAAGAAATACCTTCATTTCCTAGCTCAATGTGCATTTAATCCCGTCACCCGTCCCTGGCTTTTTATGTCTCGATACTCATAAATAAATTTTTCCATAGCACAGGAATGCTAGGATGGAGTCCCCAGCAACCAGGAATGGCAGGAGCTCTTAAGTGGCCAAATTAGACAGGGCCAGAGAAGGTCTTACTCTGGTATAAATGAAACACATCCAACCTAAGGGGTCCTTGGTGCTCTCTGAGCTTCCTTGTTTTCTTGCGGACGTTTCATTACCCAACTAGGTAGCATCATCAAGGTTGTCAGAACAACAGTCAAGTAAACCATACCCCAATCTAGAAACTGCCAAAGAGCCATCAGCAAATAGCAGAAATTCTAAAATCGCTCCCACCCACACCGACAGGCAAGCCACCAAAATATAAACTGACAGCAAACAACACTCCTTACTAGCACTGATGATGTTACCTAGTTGGGTCATGAAACATCTGCAAGAAAACAACCAAGCTCAGAGAGGACCAAGGACCCCTCATGTCAACCCTGAGCTACAGATGTTCTCCTTTATTGGTGTTTAACCTGCTTACAGGAATCATCCAGCTGAGGCATTGCAGTGTCTCTTTAAATCTATAGTAGTCAGGGTAAATAGTCCAGTCCAGTTTCTTCTTAAAAGCCTCCACTTAACGACTACAATTGAGCATCAAAATTGTCCCTAAGCAAGACAGTTTTTAAGCTAATTTTGCCCCATTTTACGGCCTTTGGATTTTGATCACGTGACTCTGGAGATGCTGCAACGGTCATAAGTGAAAAACGGTTACAAGCCAATTTTTTCAGCATAATAAGAGTTGGAAGGAACCGTGGAGGTCTTCTAGTCCAACCTGCTCAAGATGGAAACCCTATACCATTGCAAACATGTGCTATCCACATGTGCTGTCTCTTCTTAAAAGCCTCCAGTTAATGAGCACTCTGGAGGCAAACAGTTCCACAGATTAATTGTTCTAATTGTCAGAAAGTTTCTCCTTAGTCCTAAGTTGCTTCTCTCCTTGATTAGTTTCCATCCACTGTTTCTTGTCCTGCCTTCAGGTGCTTTGGAGTAGCGGTCCAAAGTGGTCCGCGGAGAAATGTCACCCCAGAGCACCCTCCCCCCAAAGCAATTAATCCAGGCTGCGCAGAAACACAAGGCGGCGCAGCCCACATGGCCCGCGGGAACCCTCCCCACCGACTCACTCCTTACCCGGCAAACTTGCCTGACAAAATTGCTATTTTTCCTTTTTCCGACCATCATCTTTTCTGCTGTGCCGGGAGATTTAGATTAGCTAGGAAACAGGAAATGGTTGGATTTCTTGCTTTCTAGCTAGTCTTTAGATCTCTGGCTCTTCTTTTAACCACAGCCGAACCTCCCTTAGGATTGAAGGTTCTATTATTCATTCCAGACTCACAGCAAGCAGATTTTATGTGACAGACTGAGCTAGCCGATGGCAGATAGATAGATCACTGAATGATTCTGTGAGCAACTCAATCTGCCTGCCTGCTTTGCCTAATTTGGGGTAAAAGTTGCTCTTTTTTTAAAATAAAAAATTCAATATTTACATACATGGCGTGTTGTGAGTTAATTTTGTGAGTTTGCTTGCTAGCAAATTTTATGAATTTGCTTGTAAGCGAATTTTATGTGACAGACTGAGCTAGCCAATGGCAGATAGATAGATCTCTGAATGAATCTGTGATTCTGTGAGCAACTCAATCTGCCTGCCTGCTTTGCCTGATTTTGAGTAAAAGTTGCTTTTTATATTAAAAAAAAAATCAATATTTATATAAATATTTATAATATTCACACACAAGCCATGCCCAGCCAGTCACATGACCACCAAGCCACACCCATGAATTAGACCACACCCACAGAACTGGTTAGTGGTCCCTGGGATTTAAAATTATGAGTTTGGTGGTCCCTGAGGTCCAAAAGGTTGGCGACCCTTGCTTTGGAGAATAGCTTGACTCCCTCTTCTTTGTGGCAGCCCCTCAAACATTGGAAGACTGCTATCATGTCTCCCCTAGTTCTTCTCTTTATTAAATTGACATAACCAATTCCTGCAACTGTTCTTCATATGTTTTTTTCCTCCAGTCTCTTGATCATCTTTGTTGTTCTTCTCTGTACTCTTCCTACTGTGTTTCTCCGAAAATAAAACCCTGTCTTTATTTTATTTATTTTTTTAGCCACCCCAAAAAGGCACCAGGTCTTATTTTTAGAGGAGGTCCTCCACTGACCAACCTCACTTGTGCGCATTGCCCCCAGCCTCCTTTTCGCTGTCAGAGGCCTTCAGGAAGTACTTCTTCTGTGGCCGGCAAGGCTTTCCTGAAGGTCTCTGCAGCCGATAACAGAGTTCAGGATCGATCCAGAGCTTTGTTACTAGCTACAGAGGCCTTCAGGAAAGCCTTGCCGGCTGCAGAAGAAATGGGCCAACAAGGCAGGTGTCAGGGTGTGCGAGGCCTGGTTACAACTGTCCAAAGGTAAGTAGTAGGGCAGCTACACACACACACACAGTTAATTTTTACCCGTTCACTCTGGAGTGGTGGGAATTTAATCAGGGCTTATTTGGGAGGTAGGGCTTATATTGGGCGCATGTGTAAAAACCAAGCTAGGACTTACTTTCAGGGTAGGTTGTATTTTCAGGGAAACGGTAGAGCCTCAACATCTTTTCTATAGGGGGTGGCTAAAATTGGATGCAGTATTCCAGGAAAGGTCTCACTAAGGCTTTATAAAGCGGTACTAGTAACTAGCAACAGTTGCTAAACAATTACTGTAAATTGAGGACCACCTATACTTGACAACACTAGTAGAAATGTTCTCCTGTCTCTATAGACTTCCAACTTCTGCTTCCTCTTCCGGCTGATTAAATACTTGAGGGTGCCCTGACATCTACTGGCGAAATCAACGCAGACAAGACTCAAAATTGAGGCAGGAAAAAAAAACCTGGAAGCCACATCATCGCCCTATTAATTCAGATTCCGTTCGCAGACAATTAATTATTCTCAGTTCTTTTTCACCAGTGCAATTAGCAGTCTGGGGATTTGGTTATAATCAGTACAGTGACTGCACGTTTGATTTTTCTTGCCTAATTCAGCCACCTCCTCTGTTCTCCGTTGAATTTGATGCTCTCATTTCCTACTATTTTTTTGTTTGCAACTTCCCTGGGTTGCTTTGTGGTTCTCAACTATTGTGTGTCTACCAGCGGCCAGAAAAGCCAATGCAATCCTAAATTGCATTTACAGAGGGATACAATTGAGATTAAGTGAGGTGCTAATGCCACTTGAGAAAGCCTTAGTAAGACCACACCTGGAGTACTGGATCCAGTTTTGGTCACCACACTATAAAAAAAAAAAAGATGTTGAGACTCTGGAAAGAGTGCAGAGAAGAGCAACCAGGATGATTAGGGGACTGGAGACTAAAACATACGACAAACGGTTGCAGGAACTGGGCCTGGCTAGTCTAGGGAAGAGAAGGACCAGGGGAGACAGGAGAGTAGTCTTCCAATATTTGAGAGGCTACCACAGAGAGGAGGGGGTCAAGCTATTAGCCAAAGCACCCGAAGGCCAGACAAGGAATAATAGATGGAAACCGATCAAGGAGAGAGATTCAACTTAGAAATAAGGAGAAACTTTCTGACAGTGAAAACAATCAACCGATGGAACAGAAGTTGCCTTTGGAAGTTGTGGGAGCTTCATCACTGGAGTCTTTCAAGAAGAGACTGGACTGCCACCTGTCAGAAATGGTGTAGGGTCTCCTGCTTGGGCAGAAGGTTGGACTAGATGACCTACAAGGTCCCTTCCAGATTAACAATCCATAAATCTCTAATCAACCCAAGAGAATTTGAAGTGCCGGTGACAACACTGTCTTCTCTTTCTTGAGGTCTGCAATTGCTTGAGAAATCCTTTGCTTAGGCCAGTGTTTTTCAAACGTGGCAACTTTTAAGATGTTTGGGACTTCAACTCCCAGAATTCCCCAGCCAGTGACCAGCCTAAAACTCATAGTCTCCTGGTTTCCAGCTTGGTGGCTGAATCACTACACCAAACTGCCTCGCTTGAATGCTTTAAAATACAGCCATACAGTTAGTCCTCGACTTAAACGACCACAATGGAGCCCACAACTTCAGTTGCTAAGCAAGACTGTCGTTCAATGAGTTTCGTCCGATTTTACAATCTGCCTTGCCAACGTTGATAAGTGACTCGCTATGTTTATAAAGTTAGTAACATGGTTGTTAAGTGAATCCAGACTCCCCCTTGACGTGGCTTGTCACAAAGGTCACAAAAGGAAGTCATGTGACTCAGGGACTGTCAACTGAAAAAATATTTCTATGGTCTTTTTAGAGCTGCCAACAGAAAGGCAGGAGGGAGCAGTGCGGCAGCTTGGAAACCAAAACTGCATTCCATAAATAGTTTTTCAAAGATAGTAACTAGGTGACTGAAGTTTCTGCAACGCAAAATATCTAACTGGAGAGCATGATTGATGACTCTTGGCTATGGATGTGTCCCATTGGAGAATATACATCCAGGGGGTGGGGGAAGACCAGGGTTCAAGGGTGACAGCGAATGAGGTGTCTCAAAGTCAGCTACATCCAGGCAGTGCTGGACAGTTTAACTCCCAATAAATGCTTTTGAAGTTTTGTAAGTTTGGCTCAAGACTCATGATTTAATTGGGGGAACTGCCGGAATCCCGACAGGGACAATGCAACCGTCATAAATACGAATCATTGGCCAAGTGTCTTGGGATTTTGATCACCTGACCCCGAGGATGCTGTTCAGTGATTTTTAAGCGGGCAAATCAATGCGGAGTCGCTTGTTCAGTGCTGTCGTAATTTTGAACAATCACGAAGCGAAAGGTTGTAAGTTAAGGGCTACCTGTAATTGATAAAGCCACGGTGTTGGAGTCAGATCTTCAGAGAATTCTTATTTTCTCTCTCTCTCTTTCTCTCTTTTTGCATCATTTAGGAATGAAGACCGGGAAAGAGCTTGGAGAGTATCTCGTGAAACGAAATTAGAGACCATTCCAAACTGTGAATCCTGGTGAGTTTTATTGTGTGTTTGGGTTTTTTTGCAACACTTGAAACTCTTTCGTTCTGCCTGGCTGTGGTGGCCTTCTCACAACCTGCTTGAATCTGGCTGCAGAGTCAGGTTGCATTCACACTGCAATCCAAACCAGGCCAGTTGAAGATCCGGTCAGATGGGTTTGCACGACCTTTTACCGAAGTTTGATTTGGTGAGTTGCCCAGAGTTGTTGCCTGTTGGGCATCGTACAAATAAACAAGAAACTTGTTTGTGTTGAATTTCTGTTTGACCCACAAAGAAATAAAGGGAGACTAGTATAAATCTGTTTAGCTGTCCTCAGCTAGCCATACCCTTCTGGGATTCGAACCCAGGCTACTTGCATATTAGTTAGATGTATTAACCTCTAAGCCACGGGCTTTCCTCACTTTGTCGGCTGTGCCAGGGGAGAGATTAAGAAAGAGGAAGCCGTATGCTCTGTCCCATAATTGGGTAGACTAGGTTGCCCTTATAGACCCGTCTAACTGGAAAAAAACACTTCAGAAGCTTGCTTGGTTTGAAATCAGGGTTAGGTTTATGGTGGCCTCTTGTGCTGTGTCAGCTTGTTTGGTTGGTTAAAATGGGTTGTACAAACCCAGAACAATTAGGCTGAACTTAGCCCTATTGTTTAAGGAATGTGTTTTTGGACCCTTTCATCAGTGGTGGGATTTAAATAATTTAACGACCGGTTCTCTGGCTGGGTAGGTGTGGCCGGGTGGTCATGTGACTGGGTAGGAGTAGCCAATTCAACGTCACTCATCACACCCAGCCCCACCTCCCGACCACTCTCCTCAAAGGCAGGGGTGGGATTCAGCATTTCTGACCAGTTTGGACTAATTCCACCACTGGTTGGCCCCACCTTCGGCCGTTTTCCGGGCTGTGTTTTGAAAACTGTCCAAAAAATGGGCAGGGCGGGTATCAGGTTTTCAAGTGATGAAATCTATTTAAAAAGAAAAGAGCAAAGTCCATCTTCCAAAAGAATTTATTTTATTTAGGAAAGCATCAAATTGGCAAAGTCCATGCTAATTCTGGATACTGTGATGATTGAGGACCCAGTCTTAAGCTACTTTTTACAGCGTCATTATAGCTTTGAGTGGTCACTAAACGAATTGAAGATTACCTGTAGGGTGGTTTTGAAAGCCTCCAGTAAAGGAGCGTGAAAGCTCTAGAGCACAATCCTGTCAACTTTAAGACATGTGGGCTTCAACTATGAAAGTTGACTTCAACTGTTGAGATCAACTGGTTGAGGTGAGGTGAGTTGTGTTGTCGAACTGTTGATATGTTTCTAATAACAAACTTTGATTGAATATGACTGCCTTGGATTATTCATTCTGGAGACTTATTACTTAGAAGTTGAGATGGATTGAGTTGTGGGTTAGTTGACTCCAACTGTTGAGATGAACTGGTTGAGTTGAATTGTATGGCCTTCAGTTGTTGAAGTTGACTTCAACTGTTGAGCTGAATTGGTTGAGTTGTGTTGTTGACTTGAATTGGTTGAGTTGGGTTGTGTGATCTTCAATTATTAAAGTTGACTTCAACTGTTGACTTGAACTGTTGAATCGTGTTGTTGAATGGAACTGGTTGAGTTGAATTGAGTTGTGTGGCCTTCAGTTGTAGAAGTTGAGATGAATTGATTGAGGTGAGGTGTGTTAAACTGATTGAGTTGAATTGAATTAAGTTGGGTGGTCTTAAATTGTTAAACTGTTGAGTTGAACTGGTTGTGAGGTGAGATGGGATGAGATGATATGTGGACTTCAACTGCTGAAGTTGATTTCAACTATTTGGGTTGAAGTCCACAGGTCTTAAAAGTTGCCAAGGTTAAGAAACACTGCTCTAGAAATTATGTAAGAACTACCAAAATCTCGCTCCAATAACACATTTCCTTCTCCTCCTCCTCCTCCTCCTCCTCTTCCTCTTCTTTCCACTATGACTCGCTCTACCATGCTTTGTTTCTGCTGGATCGCGGCTCCTGTGACTTCAGCACCAAACCCACCACCGAAGAAGTCAAGGGCTGGTCTCAGTCATTTGACAAGTTGATGAAAAACCCAGCTGGCAGGAACGTGTTTCGGGAATTCTTACGGACTGAATACAGCGAGGAAAATATGCTCTTTTGGTTAGCTTGCGAGGAACTCAAAAGCGAATGCAACAAGCATGCCATCGACGAGAAAGCGCGGGTGATCTATGAAGATTATATCTCCATCCTTTCTCCCAAGGAGGTATTTCCTTTCCTATTTTATTCCAGCATCCCAAAATGTTTCAGATACCAAATGCAGATACCGGTTTTAATTCAAATGGTGATTGGCAGTCCCCAGGTCCTTCTCCTCTTTGCAGTCCAGAAACTTTTCCAAGGTTTTCTCACTCCACCTGAAGACTACACTCTGCCCATGATGGCAAACCTATGGCACGTGTTCCACAGGTGGCACGCAGAGTCATTTGTGCGGGCACGCGAGCCCCAGCCAAACTTACCTGCACTGCGCATGTGCGCGCCTCCCAGCTGATTTTCAGCCTATCTGAGGCCATTTTCACCCTCCCGGAGGCTCGAAGGAACCCATATATTTCCGGAAGGCCCATTTTTCAGCCTCCCGAGGCCGCAAAGGCTTCCCTCAAGCCTCCGGGAGGGCGGAAACGGCCTCAAACGGGCCGAAAATCAGCTGGGAGGCGCACGCATGCGCCATGTAGGTAAGGGAGCGGGGCAGAGATGATGCGCAGGGAGGGGAGGGCACATTGCTGGCACCCACACTGTGTGCTTTCGGCACACCACAACAAAAAGGTTCGCCGTTACTGCTCTATGTAATTATTGGCAAGTGAGTATTTTGACCATATCATTTTTATGCATATTTTGCACTTCCAAGCTGTATAAACTGGAATGCTTAGTGCAGGTGTCCCCAAATTCTGGGAGTTGAAGTCCACAAGTCTTCAAGTTGCCAAGTGTAGAGACCTCTGGCTTAATGGATGTAAGCATATCAGGGGATGTTCGTTTGTGTAACGAGGGAGGGTGTGGCCTAAGGAGGTCAACGCCCTTTAATCAAGGTGTGCGCAATTATCAGGCAACTTCTTTTCCTCAGGCAAAACAGGCCAAAAAAAGAGATTTAACTGACTCTTAAAAAGTCAAACGTTGCAAAAAGCCTTTCAGAGGGATATGCAGAACCCTTGAAATTGGTAAAAATTTTGGGGTGTGATCCCAGAATCATCAAAACGTTTTGTTGCAAATAGTCAACATGTATTATTATTATTATTATTTTTGAAATGTCAGAAATGTTTACCGGTGAATTTTGAATTGTTTGTTTATTATTCTCACTTTCACGGATGAGTGAGATGGGTATTTTTTTTCATTTTTCATTTAGTTGCGTAATGATTCTGCCCTCTAATAGTTGCCCAATAAATGGCTTCTTAACCTTAACCACCAGACCCAGCGGACACTCCCTTGATTGACAGCACCCCCCACAAATCATCTCTCTCCTTGTGCTTTGTCCACCCTCCTTTTCCTCAGGTCAGCTTGGACTCCCGTGTCCGTGAAGGCATCAACCGCAAGATGCAGGAGCCCTCCTCGCACACCTTCGACGATGCGCAGCTACAGATTTACACGCTTATGCACAGAGACTCCTACCCCCGTTTTCTGAACTCAGCCATATACAAAGCTCTGCTCCAGAATGTCTCTCGGTCATCTTCGGAGTCTTAAGCCCTTCTGTACCATTGATAGAGACACCAAGTGAAGGATTTCCTTTCCTACAGCAGGTGTTATTAGATTCCTCCCCCCTCTTCTTCTTTTAAATATATATATATATTTAAATATATATATATGTATCTCCCAAATGAGCTTACGGAACAAAATAGACTGAAGACATAACCCAGCTCGGTTCTGACCACAGTCTTTGGAAAGGTCACTCCACAACTTCCTGCCGGTTTTTTCTTCCTTCAGAAAATGGGCCCATGCCAGCCGCCATCAAGAACTCCAAACTCAGGCTTCTACTTCCATTACAGAATCTGGGTCGGCCCCCCAGCTTAAGAGACGGAGAATGCTGAACGGAGCAAGCGACCAACGACGGATTGGGAGGCTGTTCTCTGGGGCCACGTGGCAGAAGAAACGAGGCCGAAGCCCCCCACCTCTCCTGAACGTTTTGATCTCTCGGAACTGTGTTTGTTTTTCTAAATTCCTTCCATGTTTATTAAGAATGATTTCCATGGTGTTCTTGTAGACACAACGATCTCAGATGGTTCGCGTGGGAAAGGGTGGCTAGGCCGATGTCAATGGAATTGAGAGACGTTCCGATGTTATAAAAGTACGTTCAGGTTTTCCGCATCTCGAATGCTTTTTCCGTTCATGGTTTATTCTAGGTAGGGTTCCCTCACCTCAGTTTGAGAAGAAGCAGGGAGGGACCTCTCGGCTCTGATGTGGAAGCTGTGGGAGAAAGCCACGGTTCTGACCCAGCTCGCCAAACATGACAAGCCCTCTGTATTTAAATCAATGGTTCCTGGATTTAAGGAGAGAGCTGGCAGAGAGAGGGACAGAGGTGGAACCTCAGCTGTCCGTCAGCCCTCAAAATGGAGCTCCAGCAGCCCCGGCAAAAAGTTTATCTCTCAACACAGGCTAGCAAGTCCATCCAACCAGGGGATGAGTAGTTGTCTGCCACATCTATTCATCTCCACCCCCTGCCTTTTATCCCCAGAGCTAGGGTGGGGCTTTGCTAGCAGCAGTGGCTCTTCCGTCCCAAGGACCAGCCCATAGATTTCCACAGCTCTCCTCTCCTCTGCCTTCTGTGCATCCACACCTCAGGCACTGGACCCAGCTGTTCCTGCTCTTCTCCCATCAGCCACCTCCAGACCTGGGGGCAGTTGACTCCCCACCTGAGGGCTGATGGGCGGCCCAGGCTTTGCCTCCATCTCTGTCTCTGCCAGCTTCGTTCCCTCTTCCCCGCTCAGAGCTCTCAGGTTGCCTTGATGCTGGCCGAGGACCTTCGATGACTGAGAATCTCCAGAGACATCTATGATCCTATGGAAGCTGTGAGCTCTGGGTTGCTTCCATAGCCATTCCAGGTGACCCAAAGTTCTGTAGTACCAACTGCCAGTGCCAGCATATTGGGAGGGTGATGGGTTGCAGAATAGAAGGACTGTGAGGTCCTTGGTGCCCTCTGAGCTTGGTTGTTCTCTTGAAGACATTTCATTACCCAACTAGGTAACATAATCAGTGTTAGAAGGAAGTGAAGTAAACAGTCAAGCAATTACCAAGTCCGCTAACAATCCAATAATAAATAATAACCTAATCAAGGAGCCACCAAGGACACTCCCACTAACACTGACAGGGCAAGACACTGGTATATAAAGAGCAACACACACCCCTTCTAGCACTGATGATGTTACCTAGTTGGGTCATGAAATGTTTCCTTGCATTTCATGACCCAACTAGGTAACATCATCGGTTACCAAATTCATACAGCACCAAGGACACCGTAATTATCGTTGTCCTCCTCTCTATAAACCCCACTCCTTACTGCACTGGTGATGTTACCTAATTGGGTCCTGAAACATCTGCAAGAAAACAACCAAGCTCAGAGAGCAACAAAGGCCTCACAGTTCTACTGCTTCTAATCCCGAGGATCCAGTAAAAGAAGAAAGGGTCAAGCTATTTTCTAAAGTACCTGTAGGCCAGACAAGGAATAATGGATGGAAACTGAACAAGGAGAGATTTAACCTGGAAATAAGGAGAAACTTTCTGACAGTGAGAACAATCAACCCGTGGAACAGAAGTTGCCCTCGGAAGTGGTGGGAGCACCATCACTTGAGACTTTCAAGAAGAGATTGGACTGCCATCTGTCAGAAACGGTGTAGGGTCTCCCGCTTGGATGAGGGGTTGGACTAGATGACCTACAAGGTCCCTTCCAACTCTGGTTATCTGTTAAGGTGGTCTAAGGAATGGGTAGCTGGATCTGGTGGATGGGCCTATCCTCCAGGATCATTACACTTCATTGTAGGTATAGTTTGGATCCCTGTTCAGAAGTCTCCCGTCCATATGGTCTCCCCTTGGTTCCAGCAAAAGGCAAAGCTATTGTCTTGTTAAGGGACGAGACATCTCTGGATGGTGCAAACTCCACCCTGTTCTGCTCTTGAGGTTGTCACCCAAACCAGGGGTCTCTAACCCTGGCAACTTTAAGCTACACTACATAAGAAGCTGGCTGAAGAACTCTGGGAGTTGAAGTCCACAAGTCTTAAAATTGCCAAGGTTGGAGACCCCTGAACCAAACCATGTTATTTCTCAGCCACTGTCCACTAGACCAGTGCTCTCTATGAATTCCCTCACTCGTGAATGTTAACTTCCTAACAGTGAGGACAATTAACCAGTGGAACGACTTGCCTCCAGAAACTCCACCACCACACACACAACTTTGAAATAACGCTGAATTAACCACACTTCATAATTAGCTGAATGGATCCAATTACTTTCTCCATCCTGAATAGCTCCGGTAAGAATGAGAAAGCTTTGGGATACAGTAAATATATCTTTATTATTATTTTGCAAAATATATAAACCGTGAACTTGAGAGTGGATCTGGGGACTGAAATGCTGTAGTTGCCGTATTTGGCATTTTCTCAAGTTGGCGCGGGGACAAAATGGCTGCAGAAATCTGGCCACATATACACCCAGCAGTGGCCCTGGTGATTTGTGTGTTGACATTTGTAATGTCAAATCCTTTCCTCTCTAATATTGAACCCAACTTTCCTTCTACAAACTCTCAGCATTTAAAAAAAAAAGATTTTCCACTCATTGTAGCTTTGAGTCGAAAGGTATCTCGGAAAGAGTAACAAAGACCTTTCTCGTATATTTCCCATGGCTTTTCATCTTCCCACTGAAATTCTAGGCAAGGGAAGGTTTGAATATACAGGTAGACCTCAACGTACAACCATAATTGAACCCCAAATTTTGGTTGCTAAGTGAGACCAGTGTTATCTGAGTTTTGCCCCATTTTATGACCTTTCCGGCTACATTTGTTAAGGGAATCACTGCAGTTGTTAGATTAGTGACACAGTTGTTAAGTGAATTTTTGTTTGTCAAAAGGTGATCGCATGACTCCAGGATTGTGCGACCGTCATAAATATATGCCAGTTGCCAAGCAGCTGAATTTTGATCATATGACCAATGGGGTGTAGAAGATGGATATAAATAACTTTCTTGTTGTGTAACCTTGGTCACTAAGTGGTTGTAAGTTGAGGATTTCAACTTCCTGAGTTAAATTATTTCCTTGATCCACATAATATATTCACTGGTGACTAACCAAACAGCCTGCATGGGAATAACACACTAAGTCCCCCAAAAATCTAACCGAGATTCACCTTAATTAAATTAGTTTTTGGCGTAAATTACTTCATCGAACTACTGCGTTTGCACCGAAGAACTTCCGGATCAAAAGGATTTGCCAGTCACATCATCACTATCTGGGAGACACCTAGTTGGGGGCTCTTTTCACATCCGTATTAAGTTGCCCGCCGAAGTGGTACCCATCTATCTACTTGAGGTCGCCCGCTTTCGAACTGCTGGGTTGGCGGGAGCTGGAGCGAGTGTTAGGAGCTCACCCGCCACTTGGCAACAACAGGGGCTCGAACACAAGCCTGCCAATCGGCAGCTCAGCATCGTAACCATGTGAGCCACTGTGCTCCTATTGGATCCTAAATAAATACGTTGGGTGAATCTAGCCCTCAGTTTTCCTTTTTCTAAGGATGGTTTGATGTTCGACCTGGCTCCCGAAGGAAGGATTTGACAACCACCAAACTGCTATTTTGGCATGGCAGCTGGGTCAAAAAAGTCAGAGCAACCGCCCCCCCCCCCCAATAACTTTAGGAAACATTTATTTTAGCCTTCTTCATACATTCCTCACTACATCTGATGGCTTAAAATGGCGTTTTTTCCCAAACTCAGCCACTTTGAGGTGGGTGGACTTCAACTCCCAGAATTCCCCAGCTGGCCATGTCGGTCCTGCTTTAGGCTGATTGCTGGCTGTGGAATTCTGGGAGTTGAAGTCCACCCAACTTAAAGTGGCCAAGTTTGAAAAAATATTGACTTAAGATGAGGCAGCCTACAAGGGCCCCATCCTGGCCTTCTCCAATATGTCCCCCTCGCTCATGGTTTCATATCTTCCTGTTTGGAGACATTTAAATTACCTCAGAACTGCAGATTGTATGGCCTCAGGTTCAACTAAACGCAAATCGTGTGTTATTTTCCCAAACCTTGGTCACACACCGAGTTCAGCCTGCTCGTTGGGTTAATCTATTACCAGGGTTTACATAATGCAAGCGAGCCATAAGCTTACTACAGGTAGTCCTCAACTTAACAACCGCAATTTGAGCCCAAACTAAGTGCTAAGTTGCTAAGTGAGACAGATAAAGTGAGTTTGGCCCCATTTTATGACTTGTTCAATTAGTGACACAGTTGTTAAGTGAATCTGGCTCCCCCCCCCATTGATTTTGCTTGTCAGAAAGTTGCAAAAGGGATTATGTGACTCCAAGACGCCGCACAACCGTCATAAATACAAGTCGCAGAACGTCCGAATTTGAATCCCGTGACCCTGGGGATATTGCTATGGTAACAAGGGTTTTAAAAAACGGTTATAAGTCACTTTTTTCAATGCCGTCATCATTTCAGATACAGATTAACAGAGTTGGAAGGGACCGTATAGGTCACCTAGTCCAACCCCCCGCCCAAGCGGGAGACCCTACACCATTTCAGACAGATGGCAGTCCAGCCTCTTCTTGAAACCCTCCAGTAATGAAGCTCCCACAACTTCCGAAGGCAAACTTTGTTCCATGGGTTGATTGTTCTGTCAGAAAATTTCTCTTTATTTCCAGGTTGAATCTCTCCTTGTTCAGTTTCCATCCATCATTCCTTCTCTGGCCTTCAAAGGGGCTTTAGAAAATGGCTTGACCCCTTCCTCCTCCCTGTGGCAGCCCCTCAAATATTGGAAGATGCTCTCCTGTCTCCCCTGGTCCTTCTCTTTACTAGACTAGCCAGGCCCAGTTCCTGCAACTGTTCTTCATGTGTTTTAGCCTCCAGTCCCCTAATCATCCTGGTTGCTCTTCTCTGCACTTTTTCTAGAGTCTCAACGTCTTTTTTATAATTATAATTTTATAATTTTATTTCGAACGGTCTCTAAAAAAACTGTTGTAAATTGAGGATTACCCATACTAATACTACAGTTGAGGCACACACACCAAGACCAACCATGGTGAAAACCATCCAAGGTTAGGAAAAGCATGCTGGGCAACCTGGCAGGGTTTGAAAAATGAGTGGTGATTTAGGCAACAGACAAGTGGACATCAACAATTTCTGCTTTCCCCCCATTTTTTATTTTTATTTTTTTTTAATTGTTGATGGTTTCAACTGGCACGGAGGGTGCACCGCATCGAAAGCAGATGGCTCTGTTCTTCGTGAAGGAAGTTTATTGTTTTGCATTTGCGACTGTACATGGAAGACACAAAATAAATTTTAATATTAAATAAAAACAAGAAGAGGGCCCGATTACGAGATGTGGCAGCAGAGGTACAAATCCACATTTTTCCCAAATCATGAATTGATTGTTCTGGTTTTCATTTGCCTGGGAAGCTTAGCTACCTTGGATGACCAGAGGGGAAGATCTAAAAAAATATTTCTCAAAGTTGGCAAACGTTCAGACAGATAAGACTTCAACTCCCAGAATTCCCAGAACTCCCAGAATTCTGGGAGTTGAAATCCAACTGTCTGCAAATTTGAGACACACTAGTCTGAAATCTTGTTTTCCAACTCTTTTCAGAGAACTTACACAGTATTTAAATACCACCAGCCTAAGCAAACTTCTCCCTTTTCCTTCCTTCATTCTTCCAGGATTTTTCATTTTCACAAACTCAAATACTTTTGTGTTAGTAACACTTGCGCTTGGAGGCTGCTAATAGGTCTGGGCATGCAGGCCAAATTATCCTCTCCATCAAGTATAAAAACGGCTCTCTTTTCACATTTGTGTGTATCTGCGTGGGTTCACAACGCAGAGACTTGTCCTATGTGGAAAACGGAAACTGGTGTGTAGATGCAGTTAGTATGGGGCAGTTGTATTCCTAGTACACACAAAAAAGGCAGGAAGGTTAGGGATTTCAGACACCGCAGTCAAAATGGATGCAAGTCGGACCGTCTCCATTTTACACAGGGCAGTTCTCCAAACTCTGCAAGCTGCAAACTTACAAAGAGGCTGAAAGATTGTAAGAAATTCATACCTTACTTTTTTCCCCCTCCCACCCAACTGCTGAAATTAAAGCCATTTTCCTAGAAACACTTCTCAATTTTGAACGTTTTTTTCCCCCCTAGTTTTCTTTTGAAGCCCACACTTTGCATCTCGTAATGACAGCGGCCAACTTTTTGGAGATGTTTTGCTTCGTGGGAGATCCATATCATATATTTCAACTGATTTGAAAAAGGAAAATAACACGTTTAACTCTTATTTCTTATTCTTTCCAGCCCCCAAAAACAAAATGGAAGCAGGACAAATAATACTTGTTCGGTAGAGAGGCTGGGAAGTCTTGATTGAGAACCCTCAGACTTTCCCCACAGCCCCTTTGCACCGGCTTTCAAACTGGGCAGGGTTTGTGCAATGAAAGCAAAACACACAAAAGGCTCCTGGAACCCGGGATTAGGGAGTTGGTTAATACTGGTTGTAACTTTTGAGAATTGCACCCGGAGCCAAGGAGAGAGTCACAAGAAGCTTCTGTACAACTTTGAGGCTCGAAGCCTGCCCGTTTTAAAGAGAAAAGAAACAAAACAAGAACAAAAAATAATAATAATAATAATAATCGCTGTCCCACATTCTCACAATAAGCTGGCTGGTCCGGGGAAACTTCCCATCCGGTGCCAATCCCGGCAGCCTCCGTTCCCAGCCGCTGCTATATTCCTACAGGTGTGCAGGCAGCCAGGCCCTCCTCACCTGGATGATGTACAGAGCACAAAGCAAACTTGGCGACAAAACAGGACAAAAATCTGCTGGCGGTACTTGCAAGGAGTCCATGGCAGAGCTCGGGGCCCTGAATTGGCTGTGGCTGCTCCCCTCGGAGATGATTTCAGCAGAACTGTAAGGAGGAGGAAAGGGGATTTAGAGACAGAAACGATTCTGCAAGAAAACCTCTTCTGCTGAATGGGAAGGAAGGATAAAATAAGCCAAGACTCCCTTAACAACTGTGTTGTGGCCCGCCAGTGGAACTGGAAGCAGATTCGGACAGCGAGGAGGTTGGGGAGGAACATGGGCCAGTCCTGGAGTCTGGGGAAGGCTCTGACGAGGGCTCTGCGTCGGAGGCAGAGATGGGGCCAGGGCCATCTGATAGTAATCGGCTGCCTTCTGAATCGGATATCAGTGGGGCAGAAGAATAGCTGGAGCCTGTTCCCAGGGTGCGCATGCACAGAGCTGCCAGAAGAAGGGAACAGCTAAGGAACAAGGGTCGATTTGGGAGTAAAGCCACAGGTGGACTGTGAATGGCCCCTCCCATAGGGAATAAAAGAGGGGCGAAAGAGGAGTGGGGTTTTGCAGGAGACCATTAGTTTATTTGGGTGAAGATCTGTTCCTGCATTCTTGCCAAGTTTTGTCTGCTACAGTGTGGCCTCTGAAAGATATCGGCCTGGCAACTCTCCAAGCCTGATAAAGGTCTGTAGTTGTGAACTCTCTTGAAGACTGTCGGCCGGGACTTTGCTGGAAAGGAATTCACTGTAAACTAAATGAAAGGGTTTATCGGGACGAGGAGTCGGCTTCATGCTGTTGGGGAAGCCTAGGTCAGAACAAACTGTCTCACTTAATGAACGTAATTTGGGCTCAATTGTGGTTGTAAATCAAGGGTGACCTGTATCAGGGTCATAGGTCACATCCAGGCTGGCCGCAAAGGCACGAAGATTGCTTACCTTCCAGCGATTTCCACATTCATTACACACCACAAAGGTTGTCATTGGCTCATCTGAACTCCGGGTTTGCACCTGTGGGAATCAAACACAGGATAAGCCCCCGCCAGGTGGCAGATTTCCAAAACTGTCAAATCGCCATCTTTCCTCACCCCTTCCCTGTATCACAACTACAGGTAGTTCTCGACTTACAACAGTTCATTTAATGACTGTTCAAAGTTACAACATCACTGGAAAAAGTGACTCATGACCCTTTTTCACAATGACAACCTTGGCAGCCTCCCCTTAATCCTGTGAACAAAATCCAGATGCTTGGCAATGGGTTCGTATTTATGACCATCGCAGTGTCCCAGGGTCATATGATCCACTTTGATTACCTTCTGACAAGCCAAGCCAGTGGGGAAACCAGATTTACTTAACCACCAGGTTACTAACCTATCAACTGCAGTGATGCACTTAACAGCAGTGGCAACCAAGGTCGTAAAATGGGGCATAGTTCACTTAACAAACGTCTCGCTTAGCCACAGAAATTTTGGGCTCCAAATGTTGTGGCTGTAAGTAGAGGATGGCCCGTTTTCCTGCCCTATTTAAGTTTGCTCAATTCCATTATTTTGACGATTTTAACTTTTTATGTTCTTTTAACATTTGTAGGCCACCCAGGATCCCTCTGGGGAACGGAGATTTTTAACAGTTTTAAACATGATACGATCAGTCCCGTGAAAGTCTCACCTGGGTGTAGGTGCAGTTCTTTTCCTTGCACTTGCCACAAGTGAAAAGGTCCGTCTGGGTCCCTCCTGTTTTGGCCATCTGATGCTCCCGGATGGCTTCCTTCGTCATGGCTTTGCGGATCTCTTTCAGTTCATTGCTGGCCATTTCCTGTCCAGGAAAGAAGGCAAAGGGTCACTTCGCTACACGGCAGGCAAAAAACACAGAAACATTTTAAGCATGTTTAATTCAAGATGGAATCATAGGACTGGAAGGGACCTTTGGAGGTCTTCTAGTCCAACCCCCTGCTCATCCAGGAGACCTCATGCCCAACCTGGATAAGTGGCTGTCCAAACTCTTCTTAAATATCTACGGTGATGGAACATTTACAACTTCTGGAGGCAAGTTGTTCCACTGATTAATTGTTTTGACTCTGGGGAAATTTCTTCTTTTCTAGGTTGGATCTCTCTTTAACAAGCTTTCAACCACGGCTTCTTGTCCTGCCCTCAAGTACTTTGGAGAGTAAGTCAATCCTCTCTTCTCTGTAACAGCCCTTCAATTATAAAGGTACTTTGGTACTCATCATTAATTGGTTCTGGGAGGTGCGATGAGTACCATAATGATGAGTATTAAATTTTATCCATAAGGAATAACATAGTGAATCACAAGGCAGCCGGCAGCAATAAATTCTAGCTTGTGAGTTGAATACCAACCAAATGAGGAGTACCAGGACAAAATGTCTCACTTGACATTTTGGGCTCAACTGTGGTCGTAAGTTGAGGACTACCTGTGCTTGCCCAGCAAAAGAACTTGAATGGATCCAATCCAGGTGTTTTAATCTCCCCGTCTCACCTCTGAGGTCATCACTGCGATTTGTTCGGGGGTGATCACTCCACACAAGACGTTCTTCCGGAGGTCAGGGTTCTTGGAGTCCTTGAGGTTGGACAGGCGACTCCTGATCCGGTTTTTGTACTTTAAATCTGTGTTCTTCACATCTTGGAATATAAGTTCAGGTGCCATTAAGGACCACCAACACAGAGAGATGTGGGTTTGCTGTAGCTCCAGCCAGAAGCTTATCAGCACATCAGGAATGTCTACGTACCCACACATTAAGAGAGGGTCCTCAGAGCTTCAGCGTTGAGATATTTTATCAAGGGTCACCATAAATGAACAGAACACCTGATGGATGTCCCTGTTCTGACCCAGGTTTCCTGAGATCGTAATTAAGCACACACTTAGTCAAAATAATTCTTGTTTTATTTCAACGCTGGGAATTATGTGCATTCCCAGCCCGTAATGAGTCCCAAACAGTCCCTCGAGATAATCACCCACCTTTCTCTTTGAATTGCTGCCAACAACTAAAGTGCCAAATTAACTGAAAAAAAAAAAAAACCCACCAAAGTACAAAGTCCACACAGAGCTTCAAGGTTTAACCCGAAGAGAGCAAATGACTTTGCTTCCTGCAAAGGTTTCTCTACCTTTGCCTGTCCTTTATACCTTATGGGAGGGGTAATCACCTCCAAGCCTTACTCCCGAGTTGCCCCTTTTGTCTCAGCTGCTCTCACCTTCTGGCATCTCTGTGCACACGCGCACTGGGAACAGGCTTCCCTTGTTCATCTGCCTCGCTGCTACCAGACTCCAGAGGCTCCAGAGTCAGCACACAACTCCCAGATGGTCCTGGCCCCATCTCTGCATCGGATGCAGGACCCTCGTCCGACTCCTCCCCAGACTCCCAGACTGGTCCGTTCTTCCCCACTGTCCGATTCCACTACCATCTGCACAGGCTGCCGGCAAACCACAACAGTCCCAAAGGGGCTTTTTTGGGGAGGCAACTGGACTTTCTGGTTTTTCTTTTGAAGATGTTTCACTCCTTATCCAAGAAGCTTTTTCAGCTCTGACCAGAGGGCGGGGAATGGAAGGGTTTATACTCCTTGGAGAAAGCTGGTCGTTTGCATCCTTTTAATTTAGAGAGTCACTGAGGCTACTTGGAGGTTGATCTGCGTCCTCAGGATCACCTGAGTAGTGCAAATGGGTATCGGACCCTCTTGACTGAAGGATGTTTTTCTGCCCTTCACCGTTGAAGACAGGCGCAGGAGGCTGTTGGGGATGAGTCTGTGTTGTCTGCATCTCCAATGAGAGGTGAAACATCTTCAAAGAAAAAAACAAGAAAAGTCCAGTTGCCTCCTGAAAAAGCACCTTTAGGATACCATGAGCTGGATGACTGAGAATCTCCATAGACCTTTAACACCTGCTGTAGTTTACACATGCATAATACCTTCAGAGGCAGCAGGAAATATAATCCATATGCCTAAGAAACTGAGCAAGACCAATAGAAGAGCATTATTTATGGCACAGGAGTAAACTGTGGGGTCCTTGGTACTCTCTGAGCTTGGATATTTTCTTGCAGACATATTATGACCCAACTAGGTAGCATCATCGGTCCTAGAAGGGAATGTGGGGTATGACCAGGAGGAGGAGAGGAGGCGTAGACGACTGGTATTGGCGTCTCTGAGCTTGGTGATTTCTTGCTGACTACATTTCATTATCCAATTAAGGTACATTTCATTATCCAATTAAGGTACATTTCATTATCCAATTAAGGTACGGTGCTAGAAGGAAGTGGGGTTTGCTCTCATTTTATATATGTTTGGTTTCCTTACGTGGGTAGAGTTTGCTCTCATTTTCCCTTACTACATACATATTTCCCTGAAAATAAGACTGAGTCATATATGAATTTTTGCTCCAAAAGACGCATTGGGGCTTATTTTCCGGCTAGGTCTTATCGTTGAGGAAATACAGTATTAAATGCATCCATCTGGCTGATGATCTTAACTAGGGCTTATTTTGGGGGTAGCGCTTATATTACGGGCATCCTGAAAAACCACGCTAGGGCTTATTTTCCAGCTAGGGCTTATTTTCCAGCTAGGGCTTATTTTGGGAGCGGGGGAAATACGGTAGCACTGATGATGTTACTAAGTTTAGTGATGAAATGCCTGCAAGAAAACAACCAAGCTCAAAGAGCACCAAGGATCCTACCATTAAAAAGACAAATATAAAAAGAGTTTAAAAAATTAACGAGATTTACTGTAACTGAGACCAAGGAGCCAGAGGGCACAGGGGTGGGCTCTTCTCTAACACCCCCTCAACAATTTCCAGCAAAAAGCACCCCCCCCCATTGGGGCTCCCAGCCAGCAGGTTTTAAGCCTTTTCCAGAAAGCCAAAAAGACGGAAGGGGGATCTCACTGAATGCTGAATTCCACGGAGTGATCAATTCTCACTGTCAGGAAATTTCTCCCTGGGTCCTTTGATGAGTTTCCACCCATTGCTTCTTGTCCTGCCTTCAGCTGCTTTGGAGAATAGCTTGACCCTCCTCTTCTCTGTGGCAGCCCCTGAGATATATTGGAAGATTGCTATCATCCCTCCCCACTTATTTTCATTCAACTAGACATACCCAGTTCCTGTAACTGTGGCTCATCATATGTTTTAGCCTTCAGTCCCCTAGTCATCTAGGTTGCTCTTCTCTGATCTCTTTCCAGAGTCTCAGTATCCTTTTTTTAATATCATGGCAAGATATATACAGAGTCTGGAAAAGGGCCTTAAAAATAAGAATTTCCATTTGAAGTAACCTCTGATCAGAATCCCGTAATTTTTTTTTTTCCCCAGGTGATACCCTCAAGGTGTTTTGGATTTAATCCTCAAAGCCTTTAACACACCTAATGAGGGCAAGGGGACTGCAGGCCTAAACATCCGGACAATATCAGGTTACTAATCTGTTCAGTTTTGTTTACTGACGCCACAAACAACGAAAGGATATATTCTTCAATCTGGCTAGCAAGTTGCTCACAGTCAGCACCAATAGCCACATAGTCATCTGTTAAGGAAAAGGAGCACAATAGGAATATTTAAGAGTAGGTATTACAGGAAGTCCTCAACTTACAATAGTTCATTCACCATGCAAAATTACAACATGATTGAAAAAAAAGTGACTTATGACCATTTATCACACGTATGACCATTGTAGCGTGCCAATGGTCACGTGATCAAAATTCAGTTGCTTGGCAACTGACTCATATTTATGACGGTTAAAGCGTCCCGGGGTCACACCATCCCCTTTGGCAATTTTCTGACAAGCAAAGTCAACGGGGAAGCCAGGTTCACTTAACAACCGGGTTACTAACTTAACAACTACAATGATTCGCTTCGGACCTGTGACAAGAAAGGTCGTAAAATGGGGAAAAATTCCCTTAACAACTGTCTTACTTAGCAACAGAAATAGTTGAGCTCAATTGTGGTCATCTAGTAAAATGCTATGCATCAAATTGGCCAATGGGGTCATCTGCCAAGCATCCTTTCATTGGTTATAGCCAAACACAAAGCATTTTCCCAGCGTCTGTTTTGCGCCTTCAACTTTGTACAACCAATAAATTGGCATCTCTTGTCCATCAACTGTGAATCCTCCTCAGAGATGCCCAACTGCAAAGCAACGTATGGAGTCCTTGGTGCTCTGTGAGCTTTGGCTGTTTTCTTGCAGACGTTTCATGACCCAGCTACGTAACGTCATCAGGGCTAGAAGGGAACGGGGCTTGCTCTCTTTATACCTAGTTGGGTCATGAAATCTCTGCAAGATAATAACCAAACTCAAGAGAGCACCAAGGACCCCTCTGAACTACAAATATTCTCTTCTCTTGGTGAAGCAGGGGATTGATAACATATTTATATACAAACTTTTAGGATGCAAACAATTAACTAATAATTTGCCCTGAGAAGATCTTCCTTCTTCTCAGACTACCACTTGTTTCCGAGGATGAAGACCTGGCTTGGAACACAGCGCTTTGACG